TCTCTCAAAGCTACCTTATGCTTTCTACTGCTACCTAACACCCCTAATGTTCCTCCCCTTGCGGCCTCATTATGTTAAACATGTTTTAGGATCTATTTCGCCCCAAAAGGGCGAAACATACGGGATAAGGGATTCCACGCGGCTCGGAATGCCCCTCGCCCAGGCTACCGATCGCTACCTATTTTCTACGCTCTCTTATAATAAATTTTCGACACTCGCTACCAATTCTATTGGGTTCTCCGGACTTACCGAAGGGTTCAGGGAAAGGCAAAGCTACCTAATAAATTTCCGCTACCTTTGTCGAATTTCCTTTTGCTGCCTTTTCAGTAATTTTTCGGCTACCTTTATACGGCTGGGTGACTTTCTCTGGGCGATCCAATAATGCTCCACGAGACATAACCGCCCACCGTTTTGTGCATTCCGGTTGAGTATGGGGAAGCTACCTTTTAGTTAACAAATTTTTATGGTTGGAAACCGCAAAACCATCGAGTTACCTCCGGCAAACGTTAACTATTGATTTTCTCGGGTTCCGTAATCGGCCAAGTACATATTTCGTAACCTCTAAATCTCCAAACCAAACAACAAACAGCAGGCCGAGCGTTCCCAAGTATCTATACACGACCCCCGTGCCCCTTCCACTACCTCCAAAACTAATTTTCGTAATTAAATAAAAACACGGCAATTTAAAGAAAAAATAAACTTAGTTACGTCAACCAAATCGCGTATGCTCTTTTCATTAATTCTAATCCTCTCGCAATTGAACGCACCATTAAAAAGATTCGCGCATAGCAACGGATTTTTTCGCATATTTTCCGCGGTGACATTATCTCAAAACTGAAGCCGTCAGATTTTTGTTTGACAGGTGGTAGCACCTGTTTCCAACGGGCGCTGTGTTATCGGTTCGTAATCAGCGTCGCGGGCGAATAATGAGAGGTTGGCAAAAATATCGTGGAAAGTGCGCTGAGAAGAGCTAAGTTAAGGTTATTTTCAGTGATAAACGAAAAAATATTTTCAGTCATAAATTAAAAAATAGAAATGCATAATTTGGCATCTCATGGTGGTTGACACCTAACCCTTACCTTTTTTCTATTTTTTTTATTTTTTTATTTTTTTTACATTTTTGTTCACTTTGTTCATTTATCCTTGGGAATAAATAATTTTTCTAAAAAAAACGCTCTTTGCTGCACCCTAAAGTATGAAATGTATTTTAAAAATATAGTTTTCCAAAACAAGAGATGTTTTTAGAAATAATTTAGGAAAATGCCTTGGAAAAATGTGAAAAAACTTAATTAATTGTTGATTATCCATACATGTGTTTTGAGAGAAAAATAATGGATTATTTCACGTAGCCATTATTTTTGGGGCCAAAATGCAAGTGGCAAGTGCCCCAAAAAAGAGACAAGAAGATATATAACTCCTAATATTCCGAAAAAATCCAAAGCAAATCGATTTTATAAAATCACCTGACCTTTATTGTGCATTGCATTCAATTCGTAACCTCAAACAGGCTTAATATGAAATTTAGAAAATTTTATTCTCGTTCTAATTTTTATTTTCAAAAAAAAAAATAACTCGGCAAATTCAATGATCAATTTCTCTGAAAATTTGATATATTAATCGAAAACCTGGAAAATAAATAAATACAATAACTAATTAATGAATTATTTACATAAATTAAAAATTCAAGTAGTTGATTGGAACACTATTATCGCTCACTCATGAATCAAAACTTATATTATACAGCAATGCATCGAATAGAAACATATATACCTTATATAATCAATAGTCCTTATTCCAAATGCATAATCGAAGGATTGTGAAGGAAGAATAATGAAATTATGTGGAGATACATAAAATTACTCACTTATTTAAACTTCAGGGCACGGAAGACTCATTCCAATAATTGGATAGTGTCGATGCATTTTGTATTTTATTTAAATCTAAGTAATGGTAAGATTCTCTCATTCGATAGTAGCTTGGGTAGTGGAAGGGTAAACTCTCTTGCCCATTTTGAAAAAATGCTTGAAATCCCCCAAAAAAACAAAAACAAAAAATGTTTTTGTAAAAAAATGCGCCAAGCACATATTTCGATGTTGTTCATTTGAAAAAAAAAATTGGAAGAAAACTTGAAACAAAAATTACTTAAAAATTGAAGCCAACAAAGCGAAAAATTCAACTGAAAGTTCCATCTGATTATCATGAAAAGACCTATGAGTTTGATACTCTTGATGAACGGACTATCGGATTAGGAAAGTTCCTTCGATTCAACTATGTACGAGACACAAACGATAGTAGTTCCACAGTTGATGCATAGGGATGAAAGATTCTCACGGGAAACTTTTCAGTCAGCATTGCCATACGGGTCAGCACTGCTCAGGTCAAGTTTCACGGCAGCTTTTAACGAAGAAAGGAAAGATCGCATATCCAAATAGGCTAGGTTATCAGGAAAAACCGCGCCAAGTACGTTGATCCTGACCATATTGCTGAATAATTTTTTGATTCACAATGCCCTTTTTACCTCTTTCGTACTTGAGTCGAGTTTTCGATTTGATTGCGATGTCCTTTGTAGGATATTATGGGACTCGTCTTAGTCAAGACATTCATAGTGAAGAACTCAAAACGATTTACGCACTCCTATCATCACCAGCTTTCCCCACTGGTAAATTCAATGAGCTTGGCATCTTTTTTCATTTGTGTATTTTCTTCAAATTTCCATAGTTATGGCTTCAATTTTTAAGTAATTTTTGTTTCAAGTTTTTTCCAATTTTTTTTTTTTAAATGAACAACATCGAAATGTGTGCTTGGCGCATTTTTTTTACAAATACATTTTGTGTTTTTGTTTTTAGTACCACGCGAATAAAGACACCCTCATTACCCTTTATCTTTTTACTTAATGAAAATCAATTGGTTCCTCTTTTGACTAACGCTGGCCTTGAATAAAACTTTTTCACTGAACAAATTCGATTAATTATAAGCCTTTACTGGGTACCATTCATGTTTGTTTTTTTTTTCAATAGTGAACCAAGTAAGAATGATTGCAACTGGTTTTTCTTATTTTTCCCTACTCCCATCCTCGTCGCTATAAATTCCTCAGCTCTGATTCAGGTTCTCGAGGTTATTCCGATTTTGCTAATTGATTAGTAGAATAACACCTTCTCCAATAGTTATCGATGTAAATATTGAATGGTTATACTATTATATAAATATTAACAATGTTGAATATTTAAACCAATAAGTTAAACCAATTTCACTGTCATGAGCATTCGCTATAAATGTACGCGTTAACCAGAAGAGAACTCTGGCGTCTGTTTTCATGTTAAGAGCAATTGATTAAAGTATTTAATGGAATGCCTGGTCATGGTTAAAAATCTATTATTCAACATTTCAGTTTCCCGAATTTTATTACACTTAACAGCTAAAAAAATGTGTCAGAGGCAAAAAATGAGCGATTGAAGTTACATGGCTTATTTTTTGAGAGTATTGAAAAAAAAAGAGAACAACAATTCGCAGAAAAAGTTAAATTTGAGAAAATCACTGGCACACTTTCGGGCTGACTAACATTTTTCGGCGAAAAAAAGAAACATTACTGGGAGTGACTTAAAACCCTATTCCGCACGTGTATGAACATCAAAAGTACTCAAAAAATGTTTCCCTCGCAACTTTCGTAAATTTTGCAAACATTTTTTCCCAGACAAATTTTTATAAAATTATAAAAAAATGTTTCCTATTCAAATCTTTGAAAAATTTTTTAAGACCTTTCCCAAAAATGAAATTGTTTTGTTTTCCGATTTCTTTTTGTTTCATAAAAAAAAATTTCTGATAAGTTTTCCAGAAATTTTGGAAAATTTGGAAAAAATATTCCGATTGCAATATTTTTTTTAATCGGAATGTTAATTTCATTTTTATACAAACTCAACGGGTGTTAACTACAGTGTCCGTAGCATTGTTCACGTTCGGCATACGATATCCAATATATTTTACTTCAAACTTTCGGCGCTTACTAATATTACAATGATTATTTCCAAATTAATTATTGGTAACATTGAATGATCTAATTAATATCTAATATAGGCAGCTTTCATGTTTCTGTCCGTGTAAAATACTGGTTTTTCGTGAATTTTTTTTTGTTAATTCAATAACTACCCAACTTTGATTTTCCATATTGATTGCCCCGTTAATGATAACGAAAGTGTTATTAGTCGGATGCATGCTATCGATGTCTGAACATTCACAATGACAGTATCGCTTTTGTAGATATGTGGATATATGCACGGCTTTTATCAGTTGTTTGTTTGATCTCGTAAACAAGGCAAATCTCGATAGTGATGATTCATATCTTTTTTAACTTTAATATCGTCAAAATCATTATTTATAGTGAAAGGAGGAAAGTATAAATGCAACATGAAATTTTATTGTGGAAAAGCGAAAAATATATTCATTATCATTTACCGACAGCAATTAAAAGGCCTGAAACTGTCGTCGGAGGATCGTAGGTCTGATTCCCACAGTTGCCTTCCCTGGCGTTTTTTTTCTCCGGTTCATTGTCGACCGGGTGTCTCGTAAGAATAAAAATCTGAGACGCCTATGGTTGACCACAGGTTTTCTCGTCAGTAGAGCTTTTTCTTGATACATAGCGAAGTCGGGTACAGAAGGCGGGGTCATTTGGAATTTTTTAACCCGTAAAAGCTGGGAAAAGTATACGACAAAGAAATTAAAGAATGACAAAGATACAAACGAATATATCTTAAAATCAAATATATTCACTGTCATTTGTATTATTTCAGAGCCGAAAATTGATTTTCTTGACATCGCGGGTTCATCCGGGAGAGAGTAATGCCTCCTGGGTGATGCATGGAACTTTAGAAGCCCTCCTGGATAATTCCATCTACATGAAAAGTCTTCGTAACGATTATATTTTCAAAATTGTACCTATGCTGAACGTTGAAGGTGTTATCAATGGATGGTAAGGATTTCTTAATTTATATTGTCGCTAATCAACATACGATATTAAAAATTGTTTTTATTAATCACTCGTGAATAATTCTTTAATAATGAATTCCACACTGGTAGGGGATTTCAGATTACTCATTGAATATAACCGCATTAATCTTACAATACATTCTTAATTATGAGGAGAATACGAATGGATAACCAAAACGTTACAATATGAGGGAATTCAAAATACTTTTAAATCTCTTTTGTCCCTCTGTTTGTATATATGAGTGTAATAACTGTCTCATTAAACATTAAGTCATGCACTCGTATTCGTAATTAATGATAAAAGAAAACTTTTCGATGCGAAATTAGATACGAGAGTGTCGTGTAATGATCATTCTTAGATCGTTGACTTTGATTCAAATGTTTTAAAAGAATAATTTCACCAGATTTTGCTCCATCAAAATCCTGAATTCTATGACATTAGTGTGCGTTAATACATTTATGTAGTTATAATTTCGACGAATTGTTGACTAACTATATCTTATATCAAACTATTTTAAGAATATTGCTGCAAACATCGAATCGATCAGGAAAATTCTAGAAACAGCTAGCATAACAATTTTTTTCAATTTTGTAAGTTGCATACACTTGAGATGATTTGATAAAATACGCCTAAATAATAACTCGTAAATGATTTTAAAAACTGTATTACTTGGACGGAGGGTCTAATACTTTGCCGTTACTGCGAACTTTAATGTTATACCTATAGGCTGGTTCGGCATCCGGTAAAATAGTACTTGTGTCTTCTTCTGGCCCTTTAGAATTATCATGACTTATAGAAGTCTCCGGTTGATCGTTGGCATAATCTTGGCTACTATCATAGGGACCAATGGTTTTAGCATCCTCCAGATCATTATCCGGTAATTCAGTCTCACCGTTTTCGTAATCAGATGATTCGTGATGTTCAGAAATTTTTTCTTGATTCTGCTGGTTTTTCCGTTGGAGGGAGCGAATTTCATGGGTCTCTAGACCGTCAAAGAGAGTCTCAATGCGGGTTTGAACACCCGGACCTTTTGTAAAAATGCTCGTTATGTTTGGGATCTCTTCCGGTCTTGTAATTTTTTCACCTGATGAAAATTCTTCTTTTTTTGGGGACAACGAAGTCAAGGAACTCATAAGTCTACCAACTACGGGATTTTCTGGGATTGCCGATGTCTCTAATGACACCTCGGTATTTTCAGGCTCCTGATTTGATTCCCTTTCAGTAATTCTATCGTTTGTAGAAGACGTGTCCAGCCTATCTGCTTTATCTCGGTCAGTTTCCGGTAAGGTTGTCGTTGTTGCGTAAGGCTTACGGTTCCTGAAATATTTTAAAGAATGTCACAGGGGGATTCTCAATGAATTTCGATAATGAGATGGTGAAGATTTCTGTACCATGAGATTTAAATTTGCAAGTAATACCCGTTGGATGGATACTACCACTCCATCTGGATTGGATTATTCTCCTTTTTTTTTTAATTATCTGAACCTTTCCAACAGTTTCGCATCGGGCCGGTTTGCACTAACGTTTTTTTTAGAGACGTTTCCAGAAACAGTAATACATGTTCGAAAAAATTGACGAAAAAATGAAAATATATAGTCCGTGAATTTTTAATTTTTATGAAAGAATTATTTTAATGAAAACGGAGGTCAGACTATCTGATTTGCCAGAGCATTGAAGATGGGGGAGGACCATTATCGTAAATAACATCGTGAATAGCACATCGGAAAATAATGAAAATTATGATATCTCTATTTCTTCAATATTTTCAATGTTTTTCCGTTTGGTTGCCCTTTTCTTCTACCATCATCAGCAAAACCTCAAAGTAGGAAAAATACAATTCCGCTGGATATCAATTGTTACGTTAATGTAACAACAGGCGGAGGGATAGAAGGGAAGGGAAAAGCATGTATGTACAAGTAACTATCATCGAAACATCAAAGCATCAAAATTAAACTGCGGAATGGTCAATGCCACTAGGTGAATATCAGACGGCCTTCGTCGTGAGCTATTCTGAGACTTGCGCTGGTTATCCCGTAATTAGATTCTTATCAGAAATTTCTGTGTAATTAATTAATTATATGTACGAAATAATTCAGATTTCTATTCATCCTACTTCTCCACAGCCCCTTCTCTTTTCCTTAACCCATTGTGACAGCTGATGGGCATCTGAATTGAACTTTTCATATTGTGAGGTTTCTGTTCATTATGTGATAAAGAAAGGGGAATCAAGCAACTTGTTTAAATATCTAAAAAATAATGAGTATTTTTTAATTACTTGCATATGGGCTATCCACGAAATTATGTACGTTCAAAGCCTTCCTCCTGCGCCATTCTTCCTCAAACCACATATTTTGGGTTGTTTTTTTATTGCAAATAATACACAAGAAGAAATGAACGCTACTGACTTTGTATATATAGTTTCCTTTTGACATTTACTTGAATGTTAATCTTCTTTTTCCTAATCAATGCATGATACCGGACGGTATCAAAGTTTACCATAAAACAAAGAAAAAAAACAGTCTACATGAGATACTCAGTAGTCACATCTCAAGAGTTTCAAAATTATCGAGTATTTCTCAATAGCTTTGTTGCAACCAAATGAGGGTGTCAAGTTTTCTAGGATTAAACATTTTTCGACCAAACAAGATACAATCGTTTGCTTACAGAGAAGTTTGCACACCCGCTGAATTTTGAAGCTCGAAGTTTATTTGGCGGATTTTTTTTCGTCCAAATTTCAGCCTATAGAATTGCATCATTCGACGAGGCTAGTGAGTATTTCATTGAATATTTCCCTTGGTCGGATCTCGACCAATCAGAGCTCAGTATTTGAGGTCGTCAAAGAGTTTTATTTCGGAAATTTCTTAAAAATTTCCGACGGAAATTCATTAGTAGATTTTCAAATGTCTCATCTTTCGACGCATTTCACGTTCAATATTTAATTTGACAGTTTGAGAGAAACAAGTGTTATTTCACACATAATTTCAACATGAATCGCTTCGGAGTGGTTTCCCTGAAAGGAATTAATGAATCCATAAGTGAAAATGTGCCAATAAACACAGTGAAATCGAAGGAATGCGTTTGTGACTATAACTATCTATTCAGAAGTTCTTCCAGTGTTCCTCACATTCTAACACTTCTACAGCAAGTATTTTGGATGACAAATGGCTGGAGAGCAATGACAACCTCAAATACTGCACCCTGCTTGACCGAAATCCGAATCGGGAAATATTCCGTCAAATACCACTCGTGCTCCAAAATTCATCGGATATTTTCATCAAGCTGCCCTGCTTAGGAACGAGGGTGTAAAATTCTGCAGAAAAATTCCTCGTGCTTCGCACTCGGGATTTTTAGCCTGCGACATTTGACACCATCGTTCCTAGGCAACGCAGCTATCGAAAAATATCCGATAATTTTGGAGCACTAGTGGTATTACTACTGAATATTTTTGGAATATTTTTCTCTTATCTATATATATATGCAACCAAAAACTTGACAGATTAAATTGACAGAAAGGACAGATTAAACTTGACAAATTAAATTTGACTATGATATTCATCGAGTGAAATATCTGTTATCATTTTTTCAAATCTCTTTTTTTAATTGAAATATCGTTTCTCATTTGGTGAATATAGACTTCGTCTCATGGTGCAATTCTATCGGTTACAATTTGAACGGAAAAAATTATCCCCCGAATCGATCCATTCTTGAGATTTGGTTCATTTATATTATGAAAGTTTGAGAATTGTCGAGTTTCGTCGGGGCATTTTAATCTTTTACAAAATAAATTCTTTACTTAGTAACTACCATGTAGTTATGTACTCATACCATGTATGAGTATCCGAAAAATATTTGTTATAACCCCCATCGACTTTTGCCCAATTGGATCAAATACGTCGTTTTAATTAATCGAAATTCCGCCAAGGACAACAGTCCAGTACATTCACCAGGGCATTGAGGAGATATAATAGTATATTCCGTCATACTTACACGGCAAGTTCAATTTTACTCCCCAAATGACGGGAAGAAAGTGGCCCATTCTATCCCGCAGATTTCTGTTGTTTTTTAGGACACTCCGAATAACATAACCTATATACCTCCCGTTATTTAGGAAAAAAATTCGTACTTTTCCGTGTATTGATGAGGGAAGAACAATGTGCACCCAGGAAGAGAAACAGGGCATTCAAACCAGCGTGCTTACCACTCTCGGCTTCGTCTGAGGGTCGGTAATACACATGCAGAATGCTATGCTTTCCACCTGGGGTGCACGTGCTGTTTTTGACCATGCCTGCGAAGGGAACTTCCTATTTGGCTGTTTGAAAAACGGGAGAAAAATCGACGCTTTCGATCCTAGGGTGGCAAGTTGCTCCCATAAAAGGCGAGAAGTCTTGACTTTCCGACCTTGGCAGCATCTTTCTACCCGAGGACGGGAAGCACTCACTTTCCGCCCGCTTGACAGGGTTAATTGCGAACTCCCGTGCAGGTATGCTGAGAAAGAAGTTTTCGGAGGAAAACCCTTGCCCTTGCAATTTCTTTCTATACTTGGTGGTTCCTGATGAATAAGTGAAAAATAATCGTAGAAGTATTCTTGTAAATGATTGCAGTTAACAGCAGTATTGGTTTGAAAAACTCTAACGGAAAATGGATCAAATTTATTAAAAAATGCGAAAGTGATGAAAATTGCGCTCTACTGCCTAGTCAATTCGATTATTTGGCAATAGTGACAGATAAACATTAATCTTAGTAAAGTCTATCCAAATTGAACATTTGAGCTTAATTACTAATAAATAAAACTACATAGTGAGAAAAAATCCATGTAGCTACGCCTAATTCATGATTTTACAGTAGATACGCGCCTTTTTCATATACCGGCAACAAAAGGTCTCACCTCTTACCCCTGAGTTGCCGAAACCGATATGCTCCCATAATTGTAATAATAGCATCTCGTCTGCTCACAGATAAAATCTTTGATGAGGGTACAATCTTGACCGTCCCATGCCAGTGTCGGTGCTTTCATTGCTACGCAACCGTCTGCACTACCACTGTCGCCACTAAAGTTAATAAGAAAAAAACATATCATAATTAATAATAAACTTAATTATCATTGTTATTGTGTAACTTTTTTTCGAGAAATTTCATAAGAATCGATTTTCGAATATAATAGAATCATGTCTCAGATGTATCCGGATGGAAAACGGTATGCATGCAAAATATATATTAATCATACGTACATACGTTCCATGCCAATTCCATCGGCCTATGACATCGACCCCTCAGATTTTTATCGTGATTTCTTCTAAAGTTTAGCTAACTGAAAAAAGCACTTTCAATTTTTTTTCACTTTCCTTAAGTTTAGCTATTTTCTTCTTGAAGCTGAAAGCTAGAAAAAAATGCCATGCTATACAAAACCAACAATCTGGAAAAATTCCCAAAATTTTGAAAACATACCACTATTTTTTTAGTCTGTCATGATTTTCTGATGGTTCAAATCAAATTCGAGCTGAAACTCTATCGGCAATATAGATCAAAATTTGGAACAAAAAACTATTTTACAATAATATTTTTTGCGAAAAGTGCATAGATTTGGTTCCACATTTTTTTCTGTTATTTACATTATGTATGGAGATATTTCAAGATCTATGCAGAGTGAATTTGTGGGAATGGTCATTTTGACGTAATAGTGAAGGACTGTTGGCTACTTTGAGATAGTTATCTCTATTTTGCCTACATATACGTAGGTGAAACAAAAAAAAATATCCAACCAAATTTTGGAAGTTTTTTTTACGAAATATTTTTTGCTTCAGATTTTTTTCAAGACCTGCAGCCATTTCAGCGCCAAACTGACTTAAACCATGACCGAATCATGACGAACTAAAAGTCCCATTGGATGCGAATAAAGTAGCTCTGGAAGTATATGATCGAAATTTTGAAAAAAATATTACTGTTTTTTTACATTTTTAGAGCATGGCTTCCTTTTTTAGTTTTCAGCTTGACCAATGAATGAGTAATCGGAGAAAAAATGGAAAAAAATTTACAGTGCTTGTTTCAGTTATCTAAATCTGATAAAAGTCGCGATCAATTCTTGAGGCGTCGAGGTCAGGGGCTGGTCGAGTTGTTGGCATGGAATGCCACGCATCTATTTCTCTCTAAACTCCAATATGTTACGTATATTCCACATACAGTTATTTGCATACATATCTTTTCTATAAACGTATTTTCGATGTTCGAGTGCAGGCGGGTGTGGCAAAATGAACCGGTGAAAATTTTTTTTTCAATTGCTAATTGGATAACAATTAACATGAATTTCATTGGATGAAATTTTCATTTAAGAAATTATCGATTAAGTGGGCGCTTTCTTAGTTATTGAAGAAGATATTGAGAAAACCGAAACGAAAATAACATAAAAAAACAACAGAAACCTTAAAAAATAAGTAAAAATCTTCTAGAAGCTATGAAATTCGACTCGGCCTAAGATCACTTGGGCTTATTGTAAGCCTTAAACGTCTCGAAAATCTAAGGCTATTGGCTCACGAATAAGCTAAATAAATTAATGCACCGAAAAGACCGAGTCAAATAGCAACAAGGCCAGAGGTGGCTCAGAAAGAGGTAAGATCTGTCCCAGAAGTACCAAGAAGAAATCTTCCCAAGCAATAGAAGACAAAAATGTCCTACTTAATTTTAATGGTTTCTGCTGCCGTTTTTTCGTTCTGCTCATTTTTATTTTCTCAACACCTTCTTCAATAACTAAGAAATCGCCCATCTAATCAATAATTTTGTAAATAAATAGGTCATATGATGACGCTCGTGTGGACTGTAATCCAATGAGCAATTAAAACAAAAAATTGTACCAGCTCATTTTGTCCCACCCTCCCCTCTTTCATTAATTTCAAAACTCATCGCTTTATCTCGTCTATAGTATGTAATTAGTAAACCATTGTTACTTTGTTTGTAAACCAAAATTCATTAACGTGAATAGAGGAGCTCTAGCTAACTCTTCTTTATTATGGATATTTCTGCTGTTGAACCACTGCATAGTGAAACTGTTGAATAATGTTAAAATATTAGTGACAAAAATATAAACCTTTCGCGTGCCACCCTTTGGGGTTCAGTCCCCGGTGGAACATCGGCTGGTCTGCTCGAACGTCCTACCATATAATCAAATGTTGCATTGAACGGTAAACCGGTACTCATCCATAGAAACATATCAGTTCCCAATTTGTTTCCCGATGTCCAAAAATCAAATTTTGCATATCCTGCATTCTTCAGATACTGTGTCATCGTATCAGCCTTCTCTTTCGTTTCAAATGACGCCAATTGTAGACCTAATGAACGACAATACTGGTATGCCAGAAAGTAATTCAATTCGGGACTGTATGGATTCATTCGTGACACAAAGTACTGAACTCCATCCAGTTGAATCGTCGTTATCCTTTGCGCTGAAATTTTGAAACCATTTTGTTAATAATTTCTATGGAACTCGTGTGATCATTATATCATTTATAATTTCAGATCTGTCATGTGTATTTTCAGTCATTTTGTGATAGTATCCCGCCAAATGGTTATGTCATAAATGCCTTCTTTAATTTACAGGAAAAGCGTTTTTTTCTCATACCAATCACAGTTTTCCTTCGACTTATTGGGTTATCTCGAAATTGCAGAAAAAAAAAATAAAACTGAAAATATCTCAAAATATTTCTGTTGTATTGTATTGTATTGTATTGTATTGTATTGTATTTTATTGTATTGTATTGTATTGTATTGTATTGTATTGTATTGTATT